ACAAGATCTCCCTGCTTGAGACCGCCGCAGTTGGTGCGTGTTCTTGGTTTGTCGCACGACATCCAAGGTGCCCCGAGCTGTGACCCTCTTGAAGGAATGCTCCCTCTCTTAGATATTCAAGGGATGCTCGCTCGCTCTCCTAACTATTCAAGGGACGCTCCCTCAATTTAACCCTACTCCCGAGCCTTGTTGTCGTGGACTCTATTACGGTCTGTGGAAAAAACATGGACTCCGTCTTGTTCTTCTTAAAAATAAAAAACACAAGACACCACCCACCGTTGGCGTAGTTGTTGCTGTTGTTGCCCCCCGGCACGTCCACCACCTCGTCCGCCATGCGGATGTACTCGGCGTTGGCCCGAAGGTCTTCCGGCGTGGCCATGGCCACGAACTGCACCGCCCGCTCCTTCCCGAACGTCTCGTACGACTTGTTTACGGTCAGGATGGGTTTAACCATAGGGCGGGTGGGGGGTTACGAGGAGTTCCGTGTGTGATGCGTGGTAGCTCGTTGGGATAAGGTGGCCAACGCGGGAAGCCGCTGGTAACATCTATAGCTAGGAACAGGCGTTGCGAGCACTCTGGCACAATTGATGGGTGCTCATCGGCATGTACCGCCGCAGCGCATCCGATCCCGTCGACAGATTGGTTGATTCTCGATGAAACCCTCTCTTCTCACGCCGCCGAGGCCTACTACCTAGCCCGGGCTAATTGTAATCGGCCCCGCTTCAGCTCTATGCCGGAAGTCAAGAGTGCGGCAGGCGCACATTCGCCAAAATAAAACCGTCGTGGCGCACAAAAATGAAACCGCCACAATGGACACAAGACACACAAAGCCATTCCGCATACAACGCACGCCTGTCAAAGCGTGAGTCTCGCCACGGCAGCGCTCCTCCCACCCAACAATCCCAAGAACAATAACCCCTTACTCAAAAGACCGCCTCCCCTCAGTGGTGTACCAGTACACATACCTCGGAGTAGAGATCGCAAAAGACTGCTCGTGGAATGCACACATGTCCAAGGTAGCGGACAAGCAAAAAGCACGAGCAGGGAAGCTGCACCCAACACTCGCAAACCGGCACCTCGATACATACACGCATCAAATTGACGGTTTTGAAGAGGCTAATCGTACCGCCGCTAGAGTACGCCGGAGAAGTATGGGAAGGAAATAAGAGGGTAGTGAAAGAACTCGAGGCGGCGCAGATGAAAGCAGCAAAAATCATCCTAGGATGCTCCAAGCGCACGAGAAATACAGCCGTCAGGGCAGAGTTCGGGAGCCAATCCCTACGGTCGGGAAGAGACGCGAGGAAGCTGACATGGCAGTATCGCATGTGCGGGATGGGAGAGGAGAGGTTGCCGAGAATTGTTTGGGAGGCGAAGTGGGCAAACATAAAGCGGGGTAGACAACCCACGGAATGGGTCAAGGTTGTAGAGGACGTATGGAAGGGGCTCGACATCGGCGAAGATGAAACGCTGGAAACGGAGGGTCTACAGGGGTTCAAGGAGAAGATATCTGTTGCTTGTGCCGAAAGAGAAGATAATCTAAAGAAAGAAACAAGGATAAGGAGGGTCTAGAAGTGTACGGAATGTTGAACGAAGGAATAGGGTTCAATGATTACCTACATGGACCAATGGATGCAGGAACAAAGCTTAAGGTCAAATTCAGGACCGGGGACATAGGCCTTCGAGAACGTCGACGAAGACAGAACAGTAGACGACGAAGACGACGAGTTCAAATGTGATGGCGGCTTCGAATGCGAAGACCGTGTTCATGTCGTCGCGGAATGTCCGTGGTAGGGAAGTGTACGTGGCTGAGCTGGGAGAATAGATGGAACGTACAGGGAAATGTTTGAGGCATGGAATAGAGAGGAAAG